CTTGTAATAGTGAATGCATGATAGGATGATACCGGAAACGCGAATAACCCAGGACAGATGGGGAGATACCACAATTCTTTAGCACATGTTTGGTTAAAGGATCGGCCTTATTTGTCTCTTTGACGAGTTGTTGTGTGGTGGTAAGAATGGCGATACTCACTGACGATTCCGGCGAAACGTTTGGAAATGTACCACGTCCATGGTTCCACTTTGGAAATGATCATGCAGACAATAGACCCCGGACTAGGTGCGTTACAATAAGTATTCCTACCAATATGACCATGTTGCGAAAACAAGGTCAAACAACCTCTATACAACGAAAGGAGACTGTGACCACACAAAAGGCCACACCACGGTCTTCATATCTTTGATGGTAAGGATAGTTTAGATATTTTATTGTTATTAATTAACCAGATTGACTGCTCGAAAACAAGGTCAAACAACCTCTATACAACGAAAGGAGACTGTGACCACACAAAAGGCCACACCTCTTGCTCTTCCTACCTTCGATTTAAATGATTTACTTGTATTATCGAAACCCTACTGATGAAAGAAAATCTCCCTTATTTTCCTACTTACGACTCTCTTTTTCACTTTGATTTCCTTTTCCTGTTCATTTTATAACCGTTATTAATATGTATCCACGTAAAATTATCTTGCACTTCCCGTTTTATTCAAAAATATTGTCAACGGCCGCACCTATAACACGGTGGAGAAAAATGGTGTTTTTCTTTACTTTGACCTGAGGATTTCTTTCAAATTATCAGCAGTCAACATGGATTCACTGAGGAAGAAGGACGTGCCATTGTGATCTTAATAATTATTATCCAAAAGTGTATCCATTAGGCCTAAGGAAATCTTTTTTTAACTTTTGATGAAGCTGACCAATGATTCCTTCATTGAGATAATTTAAATCTAAACAAGTTCAAGCTATACTATGCCTGCTTATTTTTAATGTCATCTTTTCATCTCACTTCCTCTTAATTAAGACACGAAATCGTCTTCCTCGAGGTTCGGGCAGGATTCTTTCCTCTGTTTCGCGTTTGTTTGAGCCTGATTCTTCAGAATCATTCCTTCAATTAGAGGATAGCAACACCTCTTTGCTGGATTCTGGAGACTTCGACAACGAAGAGGATAGTTGTCTGCTTCCTAGCGAGGACTCCAGATCATTGTCCTTTGGAGAGACTTTTGAACGTTCATCCTCCACCAAGCTGCATCCACACAGAACATTTGAAGTTGCTTCGGACGACTTATTTTCTACGGAGCCACGGAATATACGTCAGAAAGATGAAAGTGAAGCCTCTACCAGCTCAGAAAGTGAATGCGAAAATGAAAGCGAAGCTGAGCGTGACCAATTAGCAGTACTGGACAGTGTGATGACTCTATATGACCTAGAATCGGTCAAGTAAACAAGTTTATCTTAATATGTCTCTTATTGTAATAATAATTATATTTGTAATTTATGAGTTTTAAGAGCCAAGCATCTTTGAAATAGAAGAGATTCAACTTTTGTTAAATCCTTTATCTATAATAATGTACAGTGTGTAGTGGTAAAATAATCCTGTTGAATGGAATGAGTTCCGAGCATAAAAAGCGCTTAAAAACGTAAAGCATTTACCCTAATTAAAACAATTGTTTCAATTGTAATTCGAATATAATTCTATTGCTATTTGATAATGATCTTATTCTCTCTTTGTTATTAGAAATTAACTGTTCAAAAATTAAAATGTTTCTCTTTGTGTGTACTGATCTGAAAATCCTGTTAGAATTACTCACTATGATTACGCATTCATCACAGACAATCTTCCAATCTTCTTGCTGCTACAGACTCATATGAATAAAATAAGAGATTGGTGATGTAATTACACTGGTGTCGTTACTCGTTAAATTTAATTAATGAATTTCCTAGTTTCGAGACTTGTATTTTTGGCAATCTAATAAGTTCGTTCTTATTCACTTTGGACTGCAGTTCATATACATAATAAAGTGAGATTTAGTGCAAAAATCAAACATACTTTTAAATCTATCTCAAATAGAAGCGTAATCCTATCAAGATACATGTCGAAATTCACTTTGGGACTGACTAACTGTGAAAAGCAGCATTATATTGTGTTATCACTAATATTTGGGATACATTGTTATTCCTATTTACTTATTTGCTTATTAACCTATCCTGTGTAATCTACCTTTTCTAACGGCTAATATTGATTATCTTCAGACCAATATATTTTATACTTATCTTTTTTTATACTATTCTTATAATATAATTTATCTCCCAGCTAAGGCTATATATTTTTAGAAGTGGGTTGACCTCGTTGCAACTTGGTCTTATTGTCAGGGTAACTTAGTAGAACGCTTGCCATAGTAGTTGTCATAATTCCCAGTATCAGACAGTGGACTTGGTACATTCTCAAACGTTTCGCCAGCATCATCAGTGAGTGCTGCCATTCTCCGCACCAAGCTACGAACTCGTCAAAGAATGAAGTGAAGGCAATAATTCCACCAACGTTCTGCCGAAAACGGTTACACTATCACTCTTTTTGTGTCTTGGTCTATCTATCTACTCTTTACCATCTTATCAAAGCATTTTGCCGAGTTGAATGTAAACAAGTGAGAAGTGATATGGCGGGAGTTTGATAAGAGGGTAAGGAGTAGATAGATAGGCCAGGACAGAACGTTGGTGGAATGATTGACTTCACTTGTCTCTTTGACGAGTTTGTAGCTTGGTGCGGAGAATGGCAGCACTTATAATTATGCCGACTAAGATGTCGGCGAAACGTTTGAGAATGTACCAAGTCCACTATCTGATGCTAGGACTTATGCTAACTACTATGGAAGAGAACTTCGGAGTAGGTGCGTTTTTGTAAGTCCCTCTGACAACAAGATCAAGTTGCGAAAACGAGGTCAATCCACTTCTATAAATCGAAAGGAGACTGCGATAATACCAGAGGCCACACCATCCTGGTCTTCATATCTTATATATTTTTATTTTAGTTTTATTTTTTTTGCGTGGCAATTTTTCTTAAATTGGTATCCTTATTTCAGGTCAAATATCTATTTGTTTTCGAACCTATTAGTAAATCTAGATCATAGGGAAGTTGTCTTTTCATTAACCTTGTCGAGATTAATTATTTAACTGCCTTTTTCACTGTCTAGGGACTTGGGCCTGGATAGTCTGGCTGTTGATCTCAGTGAGTTCTATCAATTGACGTTGGCCTATGAGCAGATTCGGTGAGTTCTGATTTAAGTTCTATGCCTGTATAAAACCTGTAAGAAAATCCGGCCTTAACTTTTTTTTAATGCTAGACTAAACCTTAATGCATCTCTAGATCATATTTCAAAAAGCCCTAACTTAGGAACTCGACTTTTTAAATATCATTTGTTACACTTGAATCAATAGTATATTCCGTTAGCAATACTTTCTTTTGAAGCATTTCTATTATTCAAGTAAAATAAATGCTATTTTCACTGTTTATAATTGGTGAATTTATATACTATCCGTATATCTGAGTAAGAGCTGTAGTCACCCTAGATTGCATGAGGTGATGACCTTATTACCCTATAATCCTTGACACGAATTAAGATTGACTTCCTTTGGCGGTGCTGATGGGACCAAGGTGAAGTCAAAGTTCAGTCTATCGTGAATGATATTACTTTTTGAGAGGCAGGGCTACATGAAATTGAGTTCCATCGAGAGACACTTATATAATTATTAAAAAAATTAAATGATTAGTAGAAGTGGGTTGACCTCGTTGTCGCAACTTGGTCTTGTTGTCAGGGCGAGT